AACTTGACTTCGGTAGCCTGAAGATGGCGCTGTTCTTGTATATGTTGCGCCTGCGTTTTGAAATGATAAGAAAGTCAATAGAACTAAATGGATAATAAAACTATTGTATGAGAAAATACCTATACCTATTTAAAAGAAAATAAGTGCTTTAAATTAAATGAAAATAAAAATACTGATTTGTTTGCATAATAAGTTTATTTACGTTGTTGACACACTATCGAATAATAGTTACTTAATTAAACGTATTTTTTATACTTTGAGACTGAATATTTTTGAGACTGAATAAGGCACAAAAATATGTAGTCATCTCTTAAAGGCTTAGAGTATTCAATCTGAGCTTATAGGCTCATCATACTTGCACCAATTAAATAAAATATTATTTTATATTTTGCGGGGCAATTATTTTTATTTACTCTCTGAAAAAGATTGACAAGAACAGAATCAAATCACGATTTCTAAAAGCACCCTTACAGTTCTTACATAATTAAAAGAAGATATTTTTCTTGCATACTGTATGATTGTATGTGTGGCGTTTTAGCATAAACGCATCGAATAAAACTGTCAGCCTAAAGGTTAACGATTCGACATCAGACAGTTTCTCTTGTTCCAAAAACACTGGTGATGGTTACGTAGTTTTGCTTATTTCATGCTTATTTCATAAGGTTGTGACGCGTATTAATATAATTAACCTATCGATAAGTACCTAATGAGCTTTTATCATTGAACAATAATTTTTGTTTTATAAAATCTAAGTGACCTGCAAACAGTGCACCTGGTAGTAAGTGGCTACTGCAGCCCATGGGCTATATGTTGATGTGGCTTTATTTCTGTTACGGACCTTTTTCATCAATTATGGAACTTTTGGTAATCACAAAAACCACCAAACCAGTAAAAATATGTATATGCCAAGTAACAGCCGAGATAATATATAGGTACCCCTTACGGTAAAAGTAGAGACATTCGGTACTTGCGTGGGGGGTGGGAGGGGGTCGGGGTATGGAGTAAGTTCAGGGGAAAAGAAGCTTTTGAAGCTCCATTACCATCCATAATAACATTTTTAGTGGATCTGTACCAAAATTGAGCATCATATATGGGTATATTAATAGTCATCGTTCTGCCCCATCTACTCCCCCGGAATAATATAGGGTTAGATGACCGAATTAAGCGGTTATTAAAGGGCATTTATAGACAAAAACCTTCCCTTCCCAAATATACAACTACCTGGGATCCGAAAACTGTGCTTGATTATGTATCTAAATAGTAATATTAGTTTATCAAAACTTACAGAGAAAATAACAATACTTTTTGCTTTGTGTACTTCTCATCGCGTACAAACTCACTCTCTAATAAGAACCTCGAATGTCATAAGATCCCCGTCATGTGTTAAGATTTTTATAACTGAGATAATAAAAACTTCAGCACCAAATCGAGAGCACCCAGTATTATTCCTGCCTCATGTCGTGGAGAACCCAAGCACATGTCCAGCAAGAACCCTTGACGACTATCTTATAATAACATCTGGGCTGCGACCTGAAGGGACTGGCAGTCTCTTGCTTACTCATAAAAAAACCTTATAAAAAGGCATCGTCACAAACTATAAGCCCGTGGATAAAGCAAATTTTACCAGAGAGCGGTGTGGACCTAACTATATTCACTGCCCACGGCACTCGTCACGCTTCTAGTTTGCCAGCGGCCTCCGCCGGAGTTTGTATTAACACCATAAGAAAAACGGCTTCCCCATCTATGACATTCGCTTGGTTCCATAACCGCCCAGTAACGGGTGAAGGAGAATTTGCTCGATCCGTCTGTGAGATTAGTATTAAAACTAACAAGTAATACTACAAATTATGTATTTATTTTCTTAAATCATTAAGAAAAAGTTGGAAGTGTTATTATATTTTTGTTAACACAAATTAAAGGTTTTTCCTAATACAATAAATGTTTTATTAACCTAAAGAACATTTATCTCTGAATTTAACTATCTTTAAACATCTACCTAAGTTAATTGTGTCTGAAGAATGAAGCGACTAAATATAATATGATATCAAGCGAACTTCTTGAAAATTCATGATTCATGAAGTTCGATCATTATTATATGAGTCGCTACATTCACAGAGTTGCCAACAAAACAAAAATCGATTTAAAATAGCCTGATTATCTAAACGTGCGAATCCCTTGAGTAGATTAAGGGACTACCTAATTTAATTGTACCTTCGAATGAAGTGACTCATATAATAATGATCGCACTTCATTTCAAGAAGTTCGTTTGATATCATATTATTGCGGACCGATCCGACCTAGACCTAGAGACTTTCTAGAAAGTGTTGTAGTAATTCATGGACGGCGGTAGTCACCATCAGGAAAACAGCATGCTCGTTTGCCTCCTTTTCTATAAAAACATGTGCTATATTCCGTAGAGACGGTCGTTCCGTGGGATCCACGAACGGTGAAGTTAAAAAAAAGCTGTATCGGTGACTGACCGTCGCCTCTTAAGACAAGATGGATTGTTATTTTCTCGCCCAACGACTAACTACAAGTATAGCCATCCTCGAGGAATCGCAACCAGTGGGCCAACCGAGTTTTTTTTAAATTGTAATAAATTATCATATTTATTTATAAAATTAGTATTTTTTAAAAGCCAGTAAAAGGACCCGAATATTATGAGTCGCGCTGATTAAAAATGTAAAATACTAGCTGATACCCGCGACTTCGTCCGCGTTGCTCGATTGATATACTAAGCAAACACACATCACTTATAAAAATCGTTGTTGGAACGAAGTTCCTTATCGGACGGTACGGGTTTGGCGGATGGGAGCTAGGCGACAAAAAGTGTAAGATTTTTTCGTCACTACCCCTTGTTTATTTTTTTGTGTATTTTATTATAAATGACGCTTCATTTTAATTGACGCTAGTAATACATTTATTTGTATTTGTCAATCAATAATATAATACGTTTATCAATAATAAGGAACTTCGTTCCAACCGAGTGTTCCACGACACTCACGCATGCTTTTTATCACTTTCCAGGTAGCTTTAGATGTATTTTGTGCTGTGTTAATATAGTAATTATTTTTCGCCAGAGTCATATACTTATTTAAGTATATATTATGTCAAACTAATATACTTATAGATGAAAATGAATGTTATCTATATGTCAGCGCGTTTATAAAATACCGAGAATGAGCGAGAGGTGGCGTCGCTCTAGCGTAGCGGCATATCGATGGTAGCGAAGTGGCATTGAGGGTATATCGAGAAACCACCTCACTCGCTCGTGCAGTATTCGACGTACTCTGTGGTGCAGTATAAAGTTCACTGTAGACGCCGCGCGCGAGAGATTTCGCTTGAGTCACTTTACGATTGAAGTCATGCTTCGAGTGCAAAGATTCTAGATAAGGCAGGGTCGTGGTTTTGTTCCTTTTAATAAATCTTCTTGTGCAGGCAAGAAAAAAACATATTGGTAAATCCAGTTGTGCATGCCTCAAGCGTATATATATATATATATATATATATATATATATATATATATATATATGTAGGAGCGTCTATAAAATATCCGGTTGGATCGAGGTAGAATGGAGGGTATATCGAGAAACCCCCTCTTGTGTCTGTAGTATAAATTTCACTGTAGGTGCCGTGCGCGGGAGATTCCGCTCAAGTCATTCAACGAGTGCGGTCACTCTACTAATGCGAAGATATTGTCGTGGTTCTGTTCGTTGTTGTAATTCTTCTAGTACAGTCAAGGAGGATTGGTGTTGCTGAGATGTTGTCCTGTTACATTGAGATAAGTATTAAGTAGTGTTGCTGTTGGTTTACATATTTTGGTGTTCTCATGTAATTACGTACCTCACGTTACACTGGTGTGTGATTGTGGCGGAGACGTGTTACGGTGTGGTCCAACTGTAATTTCACTATACTGAATGTATAGTGCGTTACGTTGTCTTATTATTGATAATGATTAAACTGCGTAAGCAAGAGAGCAAGTTGAACATCCGCTTTCACACTTTTATTATTTTTAACAGTTAACGCTATCCTGTTACATTTATCCTATTACATTATCTCTTAAACTATGCGTCCAAATAACATGAAATAAATAACAAAGTTTATCTTCATAAAATGGTCTTGATGATGAAGTAACTTTCATTCGTAAGGATAAATAGGCCATGTCTAATAATAACGCTCATAAATCAATTTTAAATTTTCAATATTTTTTTGTCACAAAATACCAAATTATGGCTTATGTGTAAGAAATAGACATATGGTATCGCGAACTTTTTTTGTAGACGGAGTAAAGGTCTATATTTTTCTAGGACATTGTATTTACGTATCCCTAACAATAACACCAGCGTAAGCGGATAAATCATTTCGGGAGTGCTTTTTCTTCTGACTTGCTTAATAAATATCCATATTTAAGGCTAGCTGAGTAATATAGCATAATGCTAGATAGCCTATTCTATTCCACATGAATCTGGCTATAATATACAAAAAGAATTTTTCAAATCGAACTGGTAGTTCCAGAGATTAGCGCGTTTAAACAAACAAAAAAACTCTTCCGGTTTATTATATAAGTATACCATATATATATATATATATATATATATATATATATATATATATATATATATATATATATATATGTGTGTGTGTGTGTGTGTGTGTGTGTATGTGTGTGTGTGTGATGGTCTTGAATGTACGTCAATATGTAAGTCTTTACAAAAAACTAATTACATACTACAGTTATTATAATATTATGTGTTAAATTGTTATAATGTTAGTAATACAAATAAGAGTATTTTATGTGAATGTATTTATCAGAAAGTTCCATTATAATTATTAAAAATTATCTAGTATTTAATTATTTTGTATACAGAAGGGTAGAATATGGCTGTATTTTGTTAAATTATTAAGATCTTGTTTGTAACCTGTAATCGCAAACAAATAAATGAATTTCAATTTGAATTTAGTTGGCTACCAAATTAGAACATTTGAATTTATGCTTTATTTTATTCTTTAATAAAAGGAACTATATCCCAGCCATAAACTTCCTGATCACAAACGGGCGAGTCATCAGAAACTACAAGTCTCTCTTCATTTTTAATCGTTTCTGCGTCCAATTTCATACCTTGATTAAATTGTTTGTCAACTATGTATAAAACAAAGTTATTTTTAGACATTACAGGCACTAAGCTCCATTTACATTGAAGGTTGTTGGAATATGTTACAGCATAAAGATGCCTTTTCCCGCTTGTTTTATTGTCACTTATACACAAAGATAATTTGCCGTCCCCAGTATCTATTTTAAATGACAATTTATTATCTTCCCATAATGCTGTAAATTTCCAGTTATTGAGGTTGTCATCAATACCGCCTAATGCTTTCCTGGTGTTGTTTGAATTTAAGTCTTTATCTAATTTGAGAGCCAAATTATGCTTTTTGTTGATGATTTTTACTTTGTCTCCATTTAAAATTAGAGCAAATTGTGCAGGAAAATATTTCTTGACAATTTCTTGTTCATTGTTATGCCAAAGTTGGTACGCATAAGGTACTATATTTCTGAATCCCTCTTGCATCATTTTCGAGACAACATTAAATATCGCCGAACTATTATCATTTATTTTCATATCCCTACATATCATAAGCGCATTGTCATAATTGGCGTCAGCAATGTTTCTGTACAGTTCTTGTTGGAGGTCTTTTATATTTATATAAGCTCGACGAGTTTCAAATGCTGTTAACTCACTCAATATTGATGGTACAGTATGACTTGCACAATATATAAACTCTGTATACTTGAGTACATCTTCCAAATTCTTTATGTCTTCCGAGTCCTTATCATAACCGAACGTAACTATCTTTCCAATATCGTAATTCACTATTCGCGCTATATCTTTCGCGCAACTTTTACTTATGGGACCATTTGAAACGGTCACTAGTTTTACGGATCTATCCTTTATATAATTGCTGGTATCACATTCTGTCATACTATAGACTGGTATCCTATTAGGAATTTTCCTATCAACGTCGGAGCCTTTGCTGACAAGTTTATACTTTTCATTTATATTATAGCAATCCGTGAAACCGGTGGTACCGAATTGAGTGACTGCCCTTCCTTCACCCCAATAGTCGATGTGTTCAATTAGATTTTGAAGTGAAATTGGAATTTTCAGCAAGTTATACTCGCCTGCATAGGGCAGTTCGGAGTACGGATAGAATTTGTTCACGTTTCGATCGTAATTTGGTGATTGAGCTAGTTTCCAAACATTCATTGATTGAAGATGGCTGTCGATTTCACTGTAAATAATAATATAACGATACATATTTAAGCAGGAATAATATAGATAGGAAAAATGTAACTTTGTAAATATCATAATAATTTCTTTAACTATTAATTGTATAAAATTAACTTCACGGATTTTATCAAGTTTTATTTTAACCAAAGACATTTAAGTAGTAGATATATTTACATCTCTTTGATTTTAACAATACGTAGTGCGCTTTGTGGATCCCCGTGACTAAAGGTGCTTCAAAACATTAGTAACGACGGGAATAACCATTAGTTAAAAATATACGCAATAAAATTGATGAAATCAGTTTTATTCAATTTGTTTAATATTTTAATGGAAGAGATGGAAGAAAAGCTAAATACATAGTACATCTGTAAGTTACAGGATTTTCATACCATTCTCTGGGCACTGAAAAAAATATCAGGTACAAGTAGTGCAAGATGATGGGACTCCAATTCCACCAAGAGTCTGTCTATATCCTTTACTGTTCGCAGCTGTTTTCCGGTGTTAGGGGTTAATAAAGCTGGTACAACTACATAAGGCATTTTATTTAATTTTATTCGTCGAAATTTGACAAAATCTGTAGTTTTTTTTATTAAATTTGATTTCAGGTGTCCATGGCTGCAGTATCCACTTACTACATTCACAGACCTAATATTTAGAAACGGTTATGGCACAAGAAAGACTTTGCTGCGCTGCTCCAGTATGCATTGGCGTGCTACACATATAGGCGAAATATTACTAGCGATGTTTACTTTCGGCGCTGAACACGTCGTAAATCGCCACTAAAAATTGTGCCACATTAATTAGGGTAAAAATAATCAAGTTTAGAGGTTAATAAAGGATCTACCGTGTAATGGCTACTTTACTTTTACTACCCCATGTCATCCTGTGGATGTCCTAAGAGGCGCCATAAGGAAACTGAAACAGCATCTTCCTGAGAACAGATTAAAATAATAAAAAATGGCGGTTGTCATGCTCGCATACCAAGCAATTTGCCTACAAAAGCACGCATTGTGATCCTTGGGGACTAAGATGGAACACTCACCATATGGAACACAGCAGCACTAAGCTGCTATTTTACGCTGGTAATCTGTGAGAGCGTGGTCCTTCCCCGGTCGAGCCGACCCATTCGTGCTACAACCACAATATAGCTGCAGCTTGGCTCTACCACGCGCACCACATGCCATTCTACGACGGATGATTAGGGATCAAAAGATGATGAGGGAGATCAGGGCAATAAGAAGTAATTTTCCTAATATGCGGCGAAATGTGGTTATGGCTTCTCTTAGCGACTACCAAAACTATTTTAAATAATTAAAACACAAAAATATAATTTTTCAACTAAAACACAAAAATATATTTTTGCTAGAGATACCTCAATGGTCCTTCTCTTATTTTCGGTTTATCTTCCTGAAATGGATGTTTGCAACGGTGACGATTGGGGGGCCACCTCCCAAAGTTTCCATCTACCATTTTGAATATATTCAAGAAAACTTTGAAGTTTAAACAGTAGCTAGATGTGAAGTGAAGAAAGTTCTACATAAAGTCTATAGAAGATGTGATTATCTGAAAAGAATAGAATAACAGGCACAAGAATTAAATTTTATTTTTCAACAATTTATAAAAAAATAATTGTATATTATACTGTGTACTACGTGTCGGACTGCGTATGAAACGTAAATAAGACGAAAGTCATGGTTAACGGTCACGTCATACCAGATTCGATTATCGTTGATGTTGAGATTTTTGAAGTTGTTCAAGAGTATATCTACTTCGGCCAGATAGTGCAGTTAGACAGAAACAACTTCGAGAAAGAAGTCGATAGGCGGATTCAGTTGGGCTGGGCAGTATTCGGATAGCTTCGCCAGGTCTTTTCGTTGCCTATACCAGAAAGCTTGAAGACGAAAGTCTTTGACCAGTGTGTCCTGCCTGTACTCACATATGGTGCCGAAACGTTGACACTAACGGTGTGACTACTCAACAAACTCAAAGTCACCCAGCGGGCGATGGAAAGAGCTACGTTCGGGGTTTCTATAGTGGATAAGATTCGTAACGAAGAAATCCGCCGGAGAACCAAAGTCACCGACGTAGCCTTCCCAATTTGCAGGCTGAAGTGGCAATAGGCTGGTCACATTTATCGCAGAAGCGATAACGAGGAAGAAGAAAGCAAGTTCGCGTGTAGAGTGGAGACCGCGTTTAGACAAACGTGGCTAGATGGAGCGACGATCTGCGCAAGGTGGCTGGCACCAACTGGATGCGTGTAGCCGAAGATCAGGCTAAGTGGCGCACCTTGGGAGAGCCCGAGTGCATTTTTAGAATGTTAGTTATTTATGTTACATACATAACTAAAGCTAGTGGCGGATTTACACATTTGCCGCCAGTATGCTATTGAAATTTTGCAGCCCCTACCGACCTCTACAATTCGATACCCTAGTTAGTTCACAATCATATTAATAATTTTTTTTTGTCAATGATATTGTAGGAATAGAATAGAATAGAATAGAATGATTTTTTATTCAATATGGATTATTACATAATACTTATTGAAAGTCATTATTTTATTTACCACTGGTTCGGAAAATACCTCTGTCCTGGGAAGAACCAGCAAGAAACCCAGCGGGACTTTTTTTTTAAACATAATTTCACTTAACAATAATTTTGATTATACAATTTTAAATGAATTTTCATAGAACCAGCATGGTGGCGATCACCTTATTCCCAGGGGTTATTTTCACTCATGTATTCCTTGATATTATAATAACCCTTTTTGTACAGTTTTTCTTTAATAAAACTTTTAAACTTGTTTATTGACAAACTTTGAACATGTTCTGGGATTCTGTTGTAAAAGCGTATACATTGCCCCATAAATGAGTTACTAATTCTGTGGAGTCTTGTAAGTGGCATTACAAGCTTATGTTTGTTCCTAGTGTTTAAGGTATGAACATCCTTATTCTTATTAAAGCTATTTATGTTTTTATGTACATACATTACATTTTCATAAATATATTGCGATGCCAAAGTTAATATGTTTATTTCTTTAAATTTTTCTCTAAGGGACTCTTTAAAATTTAGATTATAAATCGCCCGTACGGCTCTCTTTTGCAAAACAAATATAGCTTCAATATCAGTCGCATTACCCCATAGCAAAATTCCATAAGACATTACGCTATGAAAGTAACTAAAATACACTAACCTAGCTGTCTCAACATCTGTGAGACTTCTAATCTTTCTTACAGCATATGCTGCAGAACTAAGTCTGCTTGCTAATTTAGATATATGGGGGCCCCATTGAAGTTTCGCGTCAATAGTAATACCGAGAAAAACAGTGGTATCCACAAGACTCAACTCCTCCCCATTTAAGAGCACATTGGTTTTCGAATGTTTTACATTAGGTATTGTAAATTTAATACATTTTGTCTTATTGCCGTTTAAGAGCAAATTGTTGGCGTTAAACCAATGTACTAGTTTCGATAGAGCATTATTTACATCGTCATATTTAATTGACTGCCGTTTTGGTTTGTGATTTATGATTTATGATAGGTTTATGATTTGTGCACTATCGTCTTAATTACTCCACCTTTTTCCCGTAATTATTATGATTGTGAACTGGATTGATGTGTCTGTTATAAGATTATTATTACAATCCAATGATTTAGTTACGATTGCACAAGAAATAGTTTTTGGCTATATTACTGATCTAGTAAAGGCTCAATCATATACTACTAATTAGGCGGTGTAAGGCATGCCTTAATACTACTTATAGAATTATGTACATTCGGTAAAAAGCGCAATTAAATACTTTTTATTGCGCTTACTTACAGTTTAAAAACAATTATTCATAATAATAAAGTAATACCTTTTTGCGCGATTTCCTATTCGCAAAATCATCAATTACATTGTCGTACGAAATCTTGTTCATTAGTTCTGACTCTATGCACAAAAGAGCTAAGGCGTTTAGTTTTTTAAGGTAAATCTTAGATAATTTTACCCAATTTAAGCAAGAAAAGTCTCCTTATCCGACCAATCTGGTGTAGAGGTAGAGCCTCTAATACATTTCTTTCAATAAAAGGGCTTTTCCCGTAAGGGTCGATGATGACAATCCACTCATTTTGGTTAGAAATGAAAACATTTCATTAAACCTGTTGTAGGCCTCTTGCCGTTCTTTTTTTTTAATTCGGATACGAGTCTATCAATGTGGATGAGAAAATATGTGTTAAGTCTGTAAGTATCACTCATAGTTATTTTCATTTCTTTATCGGGTGTTTCATAATTTTTTTTTCCTTTTCGGTTGTCTTTTTACCCCCATCTTTTGTATACTGCTTCGAAGCAGTACGCTTCATTCCGAAATTGTCAAAATACTTAAAATTGTCTCATTCAGTTACAAAAAACTTGCAAGAAGAGTGATCAAACCTATGTTAGAAGCCTGAATTTATACATTCACTTTGTTTATTCTTTCCAAAAACACAATCAACACAACAATCATTACCAATGCTTCAAGTTTTTCTAAATTCAAAAGTATTCCCGTCGCTCCGTTTTGCGTTACAGGCTTTTTGGTACAATCATTCTCGATTGATTCCAAAGTTTTATGGCCAAGAATTTCTGAAACTTCTAGCCGCATTCTCTTTAGCTGACCAACGTGTCAGAGTTATTCCCTTTAGTATTTTCTCTTTCCCTATTTCAGTCAATAATTATTGCCAGCGTTGTTTTGAACTTTAAAAAAATACGTAGAAAGGCGCAGTTGTCACTAAATTTAAAGAGTGGGCAGAGCAAGGAATGGAGAAAGCAAAAGGTGATTGGCTTTGAAATTTAGCCAGTAGTAAGCCATTGTACACACCAGACATGTTCGCGACATTATCATATGATTGTCCACGACAGTTTTCTTATGATTGTCAATATTTATGACCAGTGTTTTGAATTCCGAAACAATGGCAGAAAATATTTCTTTCGCTTTATGCCCCACTGAGAGCAAAAACTTGAGA